GATGCCTGAACATCGGTCACCATCGTGATCCATCATCATGTCGATGTGAGATGGTGATCATCACCGTCTTGCGATGATGACACGATCGATGGACGATGGAAATCACCTGACTCTGGAAACACTTGGACCAATCCTAATTCCTTCTTCTGCGATGCCAGACTCGTCGCAAGCTCCGTGCCCAAAAATTGTCCGCCCACGATGAGGATGTCTTTGCTCTCCTTCGTGGCTTTTACCAACCTCTTGTAATCTTTCAACTGTAAACGTGTCATTCGAAATTTAAATTTCGGTCTACAATCACACTCACCGTGGAGAAGTAAGTGACGTTGTGTTCTAATTCTTTTGGAATGATGTCGAGCTTCTCTGGTGTACAACCGGTGGCGATGAGACATTTTTCGTATTGGTAGATGCTCCCGTCGCTCAACAAGATGAGATGCTTGCGGACGTCGATATCGGTGACGCGGGTGTTGGTTATCCATCGAACGTTCTTGTTCTTCTCTCTGGACTCCTGTGACCGTGATTAGGTGATGAGCTTTTGATGGAGATCGCGCACCTCATCTTCAAAGTAGATGTTTTGGACTCCGGAGGATGTCTGAAACTCCATGCGATCATCTTCGATGACGGCTCCCTCCCTCCACAGCTCCTTTGACAATGGAGGTCGAGCGTATGGATAATCTTCTTCAGCCGTTACGATGAGAACTTCTGCATCTTCAAATATTCAGAGACATGATAGGAGTGTGAACGAATGACATCACATCTACGTGATGTGATGAATACATGAATCATCAAATGCTCACCTGGTTCTCTATCGACCAACTCAGTGAGAGCTGAGAAACCAGCGGTACCTCCACCGATGATGATGTACTTCTTCTTGATGTGTTGTCTGGATTTCTTGGGTGGTTCTTCACCAGGCGTCAATGGAGTCTCGTCTAGCGTGTTTTGTCCCTCCTGGGCCTCTTCTTCCTTTGCATTGGCAATGCCTCCGTAGATTCCCTACCATCGTGTGAGGAGTGATTCACGATATGAAAGAGCTCACAAATAGAGCGGCTGTCACAGTCAACGCTGCGAACGCCAATTGACCTCTTCTATTCGTCGTCTGAACGATCGGTGCAGGTCTGATGACATGGTTGGAAAAAGGTCTGCGAGGGAAGACACGAACGGGTGAGGGTTTCGAAGCAAACTTTGGTATCGAGCGACGAGCTAGTGTGGCGAACATGATGAGCCAAATTCTGATCACAGAATCAAATTGTCGAGGTGTAGATGCGGATTTGTGTATCATTTTCGCACTTGACTTCAGCTTCCTGATTCTCCTTTGCTGCATCAGAATGAAGACAGAATGAATGTGAGCAGTTGATACATCGTTTATCTCATCGGCTCGATTCCAAAACATCCAATTTCCTCTTTCTCTTGAGGTTGTCCGTCACTCTGTTTCGTTGCAGGTCCGCCGGCCTCAACTCCATCTGATGCGTACTCAGTATTATTCACATCCTCTTATACTCACGTATCCTATCTCTCTCGTTGGATCACTGTACAGTGCATTCTGTATGGCTTCGTCTGGTATTCTAAACATTCCGTCCTTCCTCACGACGATCACTTCATCGGTGTAGCCGAAGAGATGAACGGACCCGTCCAAGAGGTGATGCAATCTCAACGTCTGTCCCGTCTTTACAAAGTGAAAGATGTGTCTCAATAGCTCTACGAAGAAAAAGAACGTGTAGCGTTGCACTCGATGTGCTTCTGTGCTGAACTTTGCTCTATCCCACAGATCTTCGTCGATGACGATGGTGTAGGTGGTGTCATCGGCAAGACTCTGTTGGAATGCGGGTGACTTGTTGATGCGACCAGTTCGTACCGTCCAATCGATTTCAAAGAAGACTTCCAAAGCTAAGACCTCTCTGTGTGCCTCTCTCTGCTGACAGAAGTTTCTGAAGGTCTCCAGACACCTGAGGGCACCCACAAAAGGTCTACTCGTTTGGTGATCGGAAGGTAAGTTGAAGTCAGAGAAGAGGGTGGAACGTTCTACGCGAAGGCTTTTGTTCATGATAGTTGATAGTTTCGAATGATGGTGGGGAGAGTGAAGTTGTGTGGAAGATGCGCGCGGTCGCAGTCATGCGTTTGTGGGCTCAACGTATCCTATCGTATGATATGAGGATGATTCTATCTGAAGATGTACGTAGCGTTACAGTTGTAGACGCGTGATCGTCAGGGGAGGAGCGGGAGCGGGTTTCGAGTTGACATCAATTGGGTCATGCGAAAGATCAGGGGCAGATCGTCTGAGACGTTCAGTAAAGAGCCGTTGAAATGCTTTCTTCTCGTCGCCATTCTGATGGCCTTTCCCGTCTTTTATCTATCGTTATCAACGACACCACCGTCTCAGCTCACTCTCTTGAGGCAAAAGAACATCTCTGGAAGGAAAGAGATCACCATATCGGAAGGACTGACAGAGTTTCCGCGTGAAGTAGGAAATCAACATCTCGATTGTCACATCAGTTTTTCGATCTCTGCTAATGGGCAACAGATTTTTGATTTGGCAGATACGTTGGAGGTTTTAGACTTGAAAGATAACGCTCTGTCGTCTCTCCCAGATGATCTTCATCGATTGCATCGATTGAAGATCCTCTTTTTATCAAGCAACAAGTTCACTACGATCCCTCAGGTAATTGCGCCCGATTCATTGCCGACGTGTAACGTGACTGATCGATCATCTCGCAGGCCGTTGGAAATTGTAAGAGCATCTCCATGATGTCTTTCAAGAGTAATCAGATCACTCGTATCGAAGCTCTCCCGCCCAATATCAGATGGCTCACACTGACAGACAACCTCATCGAAGAACTCCCCTCGGATATGGGTAGCCCATCACGCATGACCATCGTTCTCACCTTCTTCAGGACGATACACCAACCTCCAAAAATTACTCTTGGCGGGTAACCGGCTGAAGAGCTTACCTGACACCATGAGGTCGTGCAGCCAACTCGAATTGATGAGGATCAGCAACAACCAATTGAGAGAATTACCACCATTCATATCTGAACTACCGAAACTGGCTTGGATTGCGTTCGCAGGAAATCCGTTCACATCTGAATGGGAGTCGGTGTGTATGATGTCGTCCAACGATCGATTGAATGTGTGTAGAAAATCAGAGACCACGATACGAAAGAGGTCAATTGGAACGAGCTATCCATTCGCGAGAAATTAGGAGAAGGTAATGATGATCGCCGATCTTCGCATTCTGATGTCTCATCTTCAGGTGCATCGGGAGTCGTCTATCGAGCAGACTGGAAGAGTAAGACGGATTCAGAGAAGAAGGTGTAACATCATCTCTCCCATCCATCTCAAGGATCATCAGGTGGCAGTCAAAGTTTACAAAGGAAAGATGACCAGCGACGGCTCACCCCTGAACGAAATGAACGCACACATGATGTCCGCGGGACACCCACACATCACGTCTCTCATCGGGCGAGTCACCCGACACCCGAAAGGCAGCAAGGCCATCGTTATGTGGCTGCTCAACACGAAAGAATGGTCCAAATTGGCCAGACCACCCAGCATGAAAAGTTGCACGCGTGACATTTACGAAGAAAAAATGTTGAGCAAAGTCGTTCTGTTTCGCATCATGAAGGGTATGGCTTCTGCCATGAGATTTCTCCACCAGAAAGGTGAGTCACAATCATAGACGATGCGATCGAGAGACGTTTCGTATGAGATGATGACATCACGATCACAGGCATCATGCACGGAGATCTCTACGGACACAACATCGTCTATCGCCTGCAAGCGAGTGAAGGTACCACTCTTCTCGTCATTATCGTTTTGTAATGACAGCCGTCCAGAGAAAATTCACGAAGAGCTATCTGCTGAGGGTCAACCCATGTTGGTCGATTTTGGTGCCGCCAGTCTGTACGATAGGAGCGACAGACGGATGTCACAGACATTAGAAGGCATAGAGGTCAGAGCTTGGGCCATTCTCCTGGATGAACTCATGGTGCTGAGCGACGTGGAAGGAGAGGAGAGGAGGAAGTTGAAGGGAATAAGGGACTTGTGCCTTACCTCTGATGAAATGATCAGACCAAATTTCGAACAATTGGAGGAGAAGTTGAGGAGCTTTGGAAAGATTGAATCGTGATAGATGTATAGAAACTATATCGGTCATTCAATCAAAATGATCATTTTGTCAATTGATGCGACATGCTGTAAATTGTCAATTCTGTATAATCAAACCAACAATGAGAAAGCATATACTCGTCACCTTGGTTTCGTGGTGTAGTTGGTTATCACATATGCCTAACACGCATAGGGTCCCCGGTTCGATCCCGGGCGAAACCATTCCTTTTACAACTCTGTAGATGTATAAAATTTCCGAAATCCTCTGCCCTCTGAGATTGGTGGTCGTTTCGAGTTCCAACCTCTGTGCTTCCCGCGGCTGTAAGATGACTCGCTCAAGTTATAACCGTAACTCGGCTTGATAACTGTATGGCTTGAGTTATATAGCTAAATTATTACATATTTCATTGAAATAAATGACGTCATCAAGGTTTCGTGGTGTAGTTGGTTATCACGCATGCTTCACACGCATGAGGTCCCCGGTTCGATCCCGGGCGGAACCATTTTCTTTTGACCTTTGCCTCAGTGACATCCTTCATGCACGAGCATTCACACCATACAGTCATGCACGAAAGATGTCGCACTGACCACGCAAGATACAAGGGAGCAGCAGAGGGGGATTGAATGAACTTGCTCGTGTGGCTGGTGAGTGTTGGGATCAGGAGATGGTGACGCAGGAAGATCATGAGATGCATTGCGATGTTAGGTCAGGGGGAAATCACAAGGGACACTTTTGCAGAAGATCGATCGGTTTAGTGTGAAGTGATCGCGATCGTCCTGCAGATCGATGACCGTAAAATACTCAAGAGGGGTGGCGACAGATAACTGGCTCCATTCGATGGATGTTATTGTGTTCTGTGCGCAAAACACACATGATCACTGACCTAAATAGGTAAAAGGAATGGTTTCGCCCGGGATCGAACCGGGGACCCTATGCGTGTTAGGCATATGTGATAACCAACTACACCACGAAACCAAGATGACGTCATCTGTCATTCTGTGATACAGATGTACTAGTTATCCGGGGTTGAACCGGGGACCTCATGCGTGGGAAGCATGCGTGATACCCAACTAACGACGTATTCACCTGGGCGTAGTATTGTGATCTTCATACTTACTGTTCACTTTATCCGTGTGTTCACGCTTTGTTGAACCTACTCATGATCACTACTACAACAAAGAGACCCGAGTTACAACCAGTACAGTTTATCAAGCGTTAATGGGGTAAGAAGCGCTTCCCTTGGGGCAAAAGGTCATCTGGTACTTGACGGTACCGGCGGGACAGGCGTGGAGTCCAACTCCGTCATCTGAATCTCATCAGTCCCATCATCATCATCATCATCATCTCACCGTAAGAATAAGAGTACACTCCAGGGGCCATTTGATGAACGGCATTGACGAATTGTGTGTTACCAACGGGTCCAGATCTGCAATCTTCCGAGCTGATGCATCCCTGATCGAAGACGCAATTTCTGCGTTTTAATCAATCTCTACAACGCGCCACGTTCTCCACTCACGCAGGGTTGGGAGTGGGGCAGCACATATAGATGGCAGGAACTTTTCGCGGTCAGTTTGAAATTTGAATCGTGGATCTCACCGGTTCCCTCGTTGAGGCCGAAACCAGAGGGGGCTCCGTACGTCAATTTCTTGCAAGGGGACATGCAGCCGACGACTTGACCGTTCTTGATGTATCTCAAGTCCAAATTAGACATGCTGTGACCTCCATTGTCGGGGAATCGGCCGTTCCAAGAGGCGTCCTCGTTAGAGGGACACTTGGCCAGGTCGAGTTTAGAGGCGTCGAGGTACTATTGGATGTGAGTGGATTTAGAGGATGAGATGATGATGGTCGGTGATGACTTACGGTGAGACCCTTGCAGCTGTTACCGTCGCAGTCGCACTTTCCAGTCTCGCCGAAGAGGCTCACGGCGTAAGGAATGGTCCAACCATCGACCTGCGGATCGTTCATCATCATCATGTCACACATGCAGCGTGATGTCTATACCTGAGATGTGTCGAACCATGTGGTGGGGTTCATGCTGTTGCAGCCGGCTCCGGGTTTGCATCCCCAAGTGGCCTCGAACAGAGAATCGATGGGAGGGTGACAGCCACCATCGGGGCAACCTGCACCTCTTTAGAACCTGCTGTCGAACGTATGGTGGACAGATGAAGTGAGAACTGACCTCCTGGAGGGTTTGGCCAGTACTGCATGGAGTCACCGATCAAGCAGTTACGTCCATTGCTATCGCAGCCATACTTGGCCCAGAAACGAGTGCCACTGGCTCCGGTGTCGGGGATGTTGTATCCGGTAGAGCTACCAGCGCTGACCCTTGTCGTCACATTAGAATGGAGAGATTGAGAGATTCTGACTCACTTTCTGACAGTGACGGATTCACCTGGAATGGGACTTCCAGCACCACCCATTCTGGCCTCGATAAAGAGCTAGAAATGATTCAGTCGGAGGTGCCGATATACGACATATGATACTCACATCGACTCCACAGTTGTTGACGACCTCCAGATCGGCACGTCCGTCGGCTGAACCACCTCCATTATTGTTGTTGTTGTTGTTGTTACCGTTGTCTCCTCCGTTGCCATTGTTGTTACCATTGTTGTTACCATTGTTTCCTCCATCTCCTGAAGTCGGGCAGAACAACTTCTGAGTCAAGACACCATTGACGCAGCAGTAGAGATCGTCCGAATAGCACGCGTCTCCACATGTCTTTAGAAATGATGGGCATCCTGCCGATACGATGGCCGCACCGACCAGCACCAAGAGGAGCGAAGAGGTTCTGAAGGCCATGATGGACGACCTCGCAGATGGGCTCTTCGAAAAGAATGGCCGACACAAAAGTAGACGCTACCTCCGTAAGGTGTAGAAGTAGGTTCGAGTTTTCTGACGAACAACACGTGATGTATGTCATTCATAACGCGAAGTTACAGCGTTGACGAACGTGTAGGCACGCTAAGCGACGAGTTTCGGGTAGTGGTGGTATTTCACTTAAGAGAAGAGTCGTTGGAGTTTTATAGAAGTCTTGTCAGTGTCACAAAGCGGAGTAAAAGCCTGACAAAGAAGCTGCTCATCGATCATGTAACACCCTCCCATACCACCGTCAAGTGTTCCACCTTCTCACGATATCAGACGTCTATCTCTCCACCGCGACGGTCATCTCGTTCGACATCACACACCTCATACTCTTTGTCTTCCCACATTGTTCCTCCTCCTTTTCTCTCTACAACAGAGGAGATGACTGGACTCTTCTTCACGGCCACACCGAGACGTCCAAAGGCAACGAGTGTCGATGCCTTGATTGCACCGTCCGTGTGAACGAGGACGATGTAATGAGCGTGGTACTGTGCACATCTTTAGACATCGCATGATGGAGGTGATAGTGAGATCACCTGGAACGGATCACCGGTGTAAGCCAGGAAGTCACCTCCAAATTTGGCGGCAGAGCCTGGTCTGTTTAGAGGACATCATGATGGAGGTGATGGTGGGGTCGACGATGGAAGATGTGGTGATCGTGATCGACACAATGTGAGATGATGTTGATCATGGTGATGAGGATGACGACATCTTACCGATAAAATATCCTCGATTCCACAGATTGAGCCACACGCTGTACTTGCAAAACTCCTTCCAGTCCCCCGGATAATTCCAACGAAATTCCGTCGGCGGTACCTCCCTCTGAGGTTGAGTGTACAACACGATGTTCTGTTTCTTCGTGAGATCTCGTCGAAATTTCATCATCTCACTTCGTTGCCGACGACGTGGGCGAGATAGTCTTTCTTTGATTCCCTCGAGCATTCTGTGTCGTCCAACTTTTTGTCTTCTTCTTCTGCGTCGGCTGTTACCGCAGATGACCCATTTTCGTCTGTCTTTCTCTTCTTCTCCTTTCGATTCTTCGTGTCTCTCTCTCTCATGTTTTCCTCCATCATCCTGAATTTTCATCAACGTCATCAGCAGCATGGTGTTGCACATCACCTCCTCTGTCTCTCTAAGTCTTCTTCTCTCGTTTTTTGAAAGTTTTCCACTTCTTCATCAGTTGGTTCGATTTCTAAGGTTGAGCCATCGACTACAATGATCACACCTTGCAACATGCATCAGATGATGAGACGATCGAGGTGGGAGCTCACCTTTGGAGAGGAGAAAGGTGACTTCGTCTTTGGACAGATGGAGGGGGAGGCTGTTGAAGACATTCTGTTGTGTATTGTTGGCGATGGATCCTATATATGTACCTGAAATCCTCCATTCCTCTCGGATCCGTCGAGCGTCTGTATGATGGTTCAGTGACGCTGGATGATGATATGCGATGTGATGATATCTCTAAACACCTTCCACTCTCCACACGAAACAATCGTCATTTTTGACGTATATTTTGATTCGATCCGTTGTCTGGCCTTCCATCATGGCGGCTCGTTGTTTTTTGTTTGCGATTTCCGACATGATCAGATCACCGATTTCCTCATTTCAGATGATCTCACGGCATCCATATCTCACACACGCAGGAGGATTGTCAGTGACACCCGTCAGTGCTCTATATAAGAGACCTATCAGTCTGTGCAAGCTCAACCCATCATCTATCACACAACGCACGACACAGACATGGAAACAACGGAGTGAAATCAAGATCTCTCGATGGACGATACCCGCCAGAGCATCGATCCACTCGATTCATTCAACACCATCCATATCACCACGTGAACCTCTCCTCATCTTACTTCACTCATAGTAATCAGCATCTCGGCATTATGCGACTCATCGTACCGCTGGAAGCCGATCAACGCCTCAGACATCCATCGATAAGGTTCGAAACATTGGAATCATTGCCCACGTCGATGCCGGAAAGACGACGACAGCCGAATGCATGCTGTTCTATACCGGTCAGACGGGAAGGATCGGGGACGTGGACGATGGAGATACAGTGATGGATTTTTTAGAGATGGAGCGGGAGAGAGGCATCACCATCCAATCAGCCGCCATCTCATTCACATGGAGAGATCATCGAGTCAATCTCATCGACACACCGGGTCACGTCGACTTCACAGGTGAAAGACACAGCCTTCACACATCCAATCACGATGATCCATCAGTCCATCACGTTACAGTCACATCTGATCTTCATCAGTCGAAGTGGAGAGGTCCATGAGAGTTTTAGATGGTGCCGTCGCTGTCTTCGATGCCGTGGCCGGTGTTCAGGCACAGAGCGAGACCGTCTGGAAGCAGGCGCAACGGTAGATGTCACGTGAAATTCACTCGAAACTCAACGAAAACTCCAGTTACGGGGTACCCAGGCTGATCTTCGTTAACAAGATGGACCGAGAGGGTAGCAATCTGGACTCCACCGTACAATCAATAAGAGGAAAACTCGGCGGAAACCCGTTGAAAATTCAACAGCCCATCGGTATAGACTCTCACTTCCACGGCGTCGTCGATCTCGTCGACATGAAGGTGAAAATCCACAGAAATTTCGACTCGTACGTAATGACGTACACAGGTCATCAAGTGGGAGGGAAGAGACGGAGAGAACGTAGTTGTCGAGGAATTTTCACCGGAATCTGTGGACAAGGTCACACACAAGAAATCATTAGAGGCTCGTGCGGAGCTTCTGGAAGCCCTCGCCGACCTCGACGAGGACATCATGCAGGTGAATGGGGAATACGTACCGTACGTACTGACGTGGTAGGTGTACTTGGAGCAAGGGGACAGTGGTGTGACGTCAGATATGATAAAGGGAGCGCTACGTAAGTACACGGCAGAGCTCAAGTGTCAGCCCGTGTTGTGTGGTACGTCTCTCAAGAGAAAAGGTGAGATGTCAAACTACAACGAGACAGAACATATCGTGACGAATGAAAGGTGTACAACAATTATTGGATGCCGTAGTCGAATACTTACCCTCCCCCCTACAAACGACCCAACCCAAGGGTGAGATTTCCTCGAAATTTCTGAAAACTCACCGATATCTCAGCGACGGACAA